TTATACACATCTAGATGTGTATAAGAGACAGGAGAGAGAGAGAGAGAGAGAGAGAGAGAGAGAGAGAGAGGAGGGAGGGAGGGAGGAAGGGGGGAGCATTTGGTGCAGTTTGCTTCTGAGTGTAGATTGTTCGAAGAAAGGGAGGGTGCGTCCGGATAGGATCAGGTTGTGTGCAAGTTGTGACCAGTTGGAACAGCCCCACAGAGCTAACCACGACGATCGACCGATTTTTTTTTAGTCGATCTGTCGGTTGACATGGACTCTGTCTGCTGTGAGAGGCAGGGTCCTGATTTTGATTGACCGACTGTATCCACTTGGTGGATTGCATGCTATTTTTTTTGCTATAGGTTGCTTAGGAAAAATGGCAGCAGTTCAGGGACAGGCGGTGCCTGGGGGCGATGCAACCATCGCGGATGCAGGAAAGAGGTTACGGCAGTTTGAGCTCCCCAGAGGGAATGTGAGGTTGATGATAGTTGCACAGACAGCTGGTCCACGGGTGACGGGGCTACAGAAACCTCGTCCACTTTCGTGGAGCTCTGGTCGAGGTGGGGGTAGCAAAGTAGCCGGGACCTTGGGCTGGAGGGAGCAGATGCCAGCGATGCTGGGACTGAGAAGACGGCGGAAGATGGTTCTTCCTAGGCGCATGCATGGATATTATGGTCGGGGCCGCGGTCCAGACATGTACGTAGGGCTGACTCGCAGCGATGACATGGAAGAGGTCCATGTAAAACACTTGTTAGAGGAGCTGAAGGAAGGGCCTCAGACAACGGACCCTGCCACCAGTCGTCCATCTTGGCCGGTCGTGAGCAAAGGAGGAGACTCCTCCCCGCGGCCGCTATTTTCGGTGTCGTCCTTGGACGAAAACACACTCCCTTCTATTCTGAAGGGGGATGCATTTAAAGAACAGCAAGATGAAGGGGAGGATGCCCAAGCTGGCGAGGAACAGAAATCCAAAGCCCCCCGGTCTATAGCTGCTACAGCTGCAGTGGAGGGCGTTTGGCTCACCCCCCTGACACATGAGCGGATGGCCAGCTGGTGGCCTGTCGATCATTCGAAAGTGCCACTTCCTCCAGATCTCTTCTCAGGTTCAACAGAAGCATCTCTGACTTGGCAGCGAACAGACGCCGATCTGTTGATGCTAGAAACGTGGCTTAATAACTCGCTAGTAGTGAAGAAGAAGCCTAGGAAAGACCAATCCTCCCGGCCCCCTACAGGGCTACGAGAATCCTCGAACACTGTTGCTCCACTTCGTCCGTCCACACATGGTTCCGTGGGCACTCGGCCCCCCAGCACCAATCCTAATGCTGATGATCCTGCAGGTGAACATAGGGACAGCCTCCTTGAGGCTCCAAGGAAAGGATTGGAGGAGTTCGGTCTTGGAAGGGCAGAGCTTTTGAAGAAGGGGTTGACGCTTCGGCAAATAGAGAGAATGTATCGGCTGCTGTTTGTCTACTCCGTTGGGCAACATGATATGATTCGAGAACTGGTTGGGGCATTCCCACAGCGAAGCAAGCTGGTTTCTAATTTCTGGCGCGCTTATGCGAGCCTGTGTGAGAGAAGCTTGAAAATCCAGTTCAAGTCGGAAGTCGCGGAACTCCTGGAAGAGAGAGAGAACGCACTGCTGCAGTTGAATCATCTGAGGGAGCGATTGGCAGAGGCTATGGATCGGCTGTCGCTTTACACTTTGCGTGTGACGGCCATGGAAGAGGAGACGAGGATAGGAGAGTCCAAGCAGCGAGAGAGTGCAGCAAAGGAAGAGAAGCTGAGGACGGAGCTGGGAGAAGCGAGGGCAGAGTATGAAGATCTCATGGCCAAGTACACCAACGTGGTTCGACATAGGAGTATGCTTTTTGCTCAGTTGCATGAGAAGAACCGCGCTATTGAGGCGATGGGCGCAGAGGTGGGCTTGGCAAGGAAGGAGAGAGCAGACACCGCTCGCCTGCAGAGAGAAAGGGAGCAGAATGCAAAGCGGGTGGAGTTGTTGGAAAGAGAGTTGCATGTGAAGGCTGAAGAAGCAGAGAACATGAGGAGTCGAGCTGAGCTCATTCGAGGCAGATTGAACCTTGCGTTGAGAGACATTGCTGTCCGAGACCAGAGGTTAGGGGAGGCCGCAGCTGACTGCAGTCGGTTGGCGGGAGCCATCAAGTCGGGCAATGAGAAAATTCTTGCCCTTGAGAAAGAACTGCGGGCGCAGAAGATGAGCACGACAAAGGAGGAGGAGCAGAGAGCGCTGACAGAGGACAAGTTGAAGGCTGTCGAGGAGGAAAAAGAGAGCTTGCGAGAGAAGCTGTCTGTGGCCCGAGGAGAGTGCCAGATGGCCATGCGCAAGCTGTCGATATTGGTAGGCCAAAGGGAACAGCCGCAGCTGCCCTTGATTTCGGAGGCTCTGAAGGTGTCAGGAGAAGAAAGGGGGGCAGGAGGAGGGGGAGCAGGTGGACGAGGGAGAGAGGGAGGGGTGACTACAGGAGATCAGCCCAGCCACCCTGTTGCAGCACCCACGGAGGTTCCTGCTCCCGGAGGAGGGAGGTGGGTTTCTGAGGATGAACTGAAGGAGCTTTCGGCAGCAAAGGAGAGGCTGCGGAGCAAACGCGACGAGGTCAAATCTCACATTCGGATCGTGAAAGCTGAGCTGCAGCAGGTTAGGCAGATGTTAGAGGAAGCTGGGAAGAAGAGGGATGAAGAAAGGGAAAGACGAAAAGAGGATCAGGCAACGTCGCAGCGCCTCGAGAAGGAGCTGAAAGAGGCCAACACCGAGTTGGATGAGTTGCGTCCTAGGCTGCAGGCTTTGGACGAACAGCTGAGGGAGGTAGAAGAGCAGTTGCAGAAGGAGATTGAAGAGAAGGGAATAGCAGAACGGTTGGTTGATGCCCTAAGTGACGAGGTGGAAAAGAGTAGACAGCAGCTGCAGGACAGTGAACAACAAGTGGCGATGCTTCGGGCCGAGGTCTCTGCTCTCCACAGGTCACTCGAGGACGAGCGAGCCTTCAAGGCATGGGCACATGACAAGGAGGAGAGGCTAGAGGCAAAGGTGAAATCGCTGGAGTCGGAGATTGGCGACTGCAAGGCCCGGCTTCAACGACTGGGCATGGACAACAAGTGTAAGAGGGCGGAGATGGCCCGGATGGAATCGGAAATGTCGGAACTGGTGCAGGAGAACACGAGATGGAAGCAGATCGCCGATTCAGCAAAGGCGGAGAACAAGGAGCTAGTTGAAGCAATGGCAAGAATGGTGGAGGCCGACGAGAAGGTTGGAGCTGCAGACAGAAGAGCACTGACATCAGAGGACCCTAGGCATGCCCTTTCTGGGGACTCAGAGGCAGATGACGCCCGGCAAGGAGGATCGCAACTCCGCGGGAGTTCCCAACGAGACACCCAGAGGGAGCAGCAGGTCGCCAAAGAGGTGGAAAGACTAAGAGGGGAGGTGGGACAGCTGAAGGATGAGCTGAGCAAGGGAATGGCTGTTTCAGAGCAGCTCAGGGCTGAGCTTACCTCCCTGCAGACGCGGATTGTAGAACTCGAGCAGAAAGAAGAAGCGGCCAGTCGTAAGATTGCGGAGTCAGAAATGCGGATACAGGAGGCTACTCAGCTCAAGCAAGCTGCAGAACAGGCATTGCAGGATGTGAAGGCTCAAATCACGAGTGCCCAGTCTGAGGCGTTTGGGATGGAGGTGCTTTACAAGAGGGCGAGGAAGGATCTCAGTAGGATGAAAGAAGAGAACCAGGCCATAGTCAAAACTCTGGCCGTCGCAGATGCATCTGTCAAGGCAATGGAGATGGAGCTGGAAAAGGAGATTGTCACGAGGAAGTGTTTGGAGGAAGAGGTGAGCAAGGCCAGGATGAGAGAGGAGAGTGCTCGGCGAGAACTGAGAGACGCACGCCAGGATTTAGAGGCGTTCAAGAGATGGAGAACGCAGAGCGAAGTGGAGTTAGAGAAAGAAAGGAGTGCTCATCATGTGGAGGTCATGGAGCTAAGGGAAATGGTGGAGGGTCTCAAGGCCGAGGTGGTCGTCAAGAAGGATGCTTTGCGTGCCAAGTGGAGGGATCGGATCCAGGAGCTAGAAAGGCACAAGGCGGAGGCCGAAGCTCGTGTCAAACTCCTCGAGTCCGCGATCGAAAACTCTGTGATGGAACCCATAAGGAGTGCCTGACGTGATACATTGTGAAGGTTTCTTCTTGTATTGCTCCCAGCCCGCCAATCGAAAGCAGGTTGACTGCAAAGTCCTGCCCAATAATGAGGCACGAGCACAAGGGTGGTCATGTCAGCCCTGATCCGATACAGACCAATCAGTCACGATGATTCCCGCATAGCATGACCCGGACGATGAGAAAGTGTACAACAATGTTTGCCGGATCCCAAGAGCCATGCAATCAGAAAGCAGCCATAGCTCCAAGCCCTCGGTGCAAAGCAAGCAAGATTTGACACAGAAAGATCAACGAACGTGGAGCATGTGTACGGACACACTGTGCGGTCTTGGAGATTACATCGCAATCGCCATGGGTTTTGCCAGGCAGAGGAGGCACGCAATCAGAAAGCAACCGTGGCTCCAAGCACACAACAAACTGCAAGGCGCCTGAGATGAGACAGAAAGACCGACGAATGCAGAGCATGCATACAAATGCACTTTTCAGCCCTGCGGACTATCTGGCAATTGCTGTGGGTCTGTGCGCCCTTTTTGCCACATTACCTTCTGGAATGTACGGTCAGGGTGTACCTTTTGCCTTGCAAAATGAGCATTATACAGACGGTCAGGATGGACATGTTGACTTGCAGTTGGCATGCAGCCAGCTGTAGGCTCATCTACAGTGAGATTTGTGCGTAGGGCGTTCCGATCGCCTTTGTGAGTTACAAGCGATTGTTACATCCATCAGCCCCTTTTTTTGGGATGCACAAAACTCAGAAGGAGGTGGGCAAACTGCACCATCTACTACTGGGAACTTTGGTTGGCATACTTGACTGAAATCATGATAGATGAGCATGAATGCAGTCTGCATGGCGATCGGGTTCATGTTAATGCGCGCCTGTGACTGTGAACCAAAGGTTCTTGTGGGGTCTAGCGAGGCGCTTATCCCCGATAAGGATCCAAACACAATGCCGAGTCATTATAGTTGGATTCAGAGAACCTTTCAGGCCAGATACAGGTGTAACTACCGCATGCTGTGCTCGGGGGAAGAAGGCATTAGAAATGAACCAACTTTGTTGAATCAGATCTGAAATGCTGTTTCCTTAGTTTGCGAGCTGTCATGACAATGTCCCGAACTCCAGCGAAGGACGAATGGGTTCTCGCTTTGGGACGAGGGGGTTCATGCTGTGAGGGAAAAGCTGCTGCCAATACTGTCCCATACCATTCGAAGTAAGGGCCTGATTTTGTGGTCCTCATAGGACTGTTGAAAAAAATGGTGGGCTACTCGATGTGTTGATCACTATACCAATGATTGTGTGAAGGCCGGACAACACGGGAGTGATGCTGGCAGGCCATCCTCATTCGATAACATCAAATCGTCGATTATGGCTCATATTGAAGAGGATCATTGCACAATGGATAAGTTGTTACACGACGTTGAACGACATCCACACACTACCCAACATTGACGAGGATCCATGCAAAACAGCCAAGGGTTACCCAGCCAACATTGAACGGCATCCACCCACGTTGCTACGTGAGTGAACCATTCTCTCTTCGCACGTTGATCAAGAGAGCGCTTCTCTCCTTTCCAGGAGTCGTGTTAGTAGGCTTACTCTTGATAGTCTCGTAGCAATATATATGGATATGGACACGGGTTGCTCAACCATGAAGAGAATCCACTACACACACGGCGTAAGACTTACCCCACATGTCCTTCCAAGGGATAAAGGGTTACCCAACATTGAAGAGGATCCAGGTACAAGGGATAAAGGGTTACCCACAATTGAAGAGGATCCACCCACAATGGATAAGGGTTATGGGACATTGAAGAGGGTCCACAGACAACGGATACGGGTTACCCAACATGTAGCTGCAATCAATAAGGGTTACTGAACATGGAAGAGGAGTCACACTGCAAAGGCTAAGGGTTACCCAACATGTAACTGCAACGGATAAGGGTTACCCAACATCAAAGAGGATCCACACACAATGGAGAAGGTATACCCAACATTGGAGATGATTGACGCAACAATCGAGAAGGGTTACCCAACATGTGCTTTGTTGATAAAGGTTACCCAACATGTTGTGCTTTATTGATAAGGGTTACCCAGCATGTGCTTTATTGATAAGGGGTACCCAACATTGAAGAGGATCCACTAACAATGGCTAAGGGCGATCCAACATTGAAGACGATCCAGGCACAATGGACAAGGGTTACCCAACATCGAAGAGGATCCATAGAGATGGGGTAAGGGTTACCCAACATGTCGTTGCAATCGATAAGGGTTACACAAACATTGAAGAGGAGTCGCGCACAATCGATAAGGGTTACCCAACATTTACTTGCAATGGGTAAGGGTTACTCAACATGTACTTGCAACAGATAAGGGTTACCAAGCGGAGGATCCACGAACAATGGATACGGGTTAACCTAACATTGAAGAGGATCCTCGCACAATGAAAAAGGAAGGGTTTGCTGCACGGCACCGCTTCTTTGCTCCCACTTCGTCCGGGTACCTGCATGAAGCAGATACGGCGGCCGAGACTTACCACCGTTGGTTGGACATCTCGGAACAAATGCTTCCAGTTGACCGAGTTGATGAACCCGACGTACACTTTGTGGTCGAAGCCTCACGTCGAAGATGATCCATGTGCCATGGACAAGGGGTACTCAACGTATACTTGCAATGGATAAGGGTTACCCAACGTGTACCTGCAATGGATAAGAAGGGTTACTCAAGTACTCAACATTGACGAAGACCGACGCACAATGGATCAGCCTTACATCTTTGTCTGGCTGGGGGATATGGGAAGAAACGGTCCCTGCTCATGATAGGGGGGGCCATACCCAAGTGTCCTCACATGAGTACAGTGCATGCATCCAAAGCAATGAAGGAGCTCGGAACACCTACAACCAGCTGCGATTAAAGCAGCACAACAGTTCAATAAAGGCTTGCGAGAGCGAGAGAGCGAGAGCGAGAGAGCGAGAGCGAGAGAGAGAGAGAGCGAGAGAGAGAGAGAGAGAGCGAGAGCGAGAGCGAGCGAGCGAGCGAGAGAGAGAGAGAGAGAGAGAGAGAGAGAGAGAGAGAGAGAGAGAGAGNGAGAGAGAGAGAGAGAGAGAGAGAGAGAGAGAGAGAGAGAGAGAGAGAGAGAGAGAGAGAGAGAGAGTTGCTGGTAATCCATACTCTCATTGGATTGCAGCACCATTTTTATTTATTTATTTAAATTATTTATTTACTTTTTTATTTATGTATTTGTTTATTTATTTATTTAGTTTTGCAAAAGCATATTGGTTGCCAGCCTGCAATTGATTGGGTGGTAAGAGCAGCTTCTCGATTGATATCTTGCCTGATAGGTGGCTCGTGTCTATTGGTCGGGAGCAACACCTCCTGGGAACCAGGCCCAGCGTCCCTTATATAGAACAACACCATTGTTCTATAATAAATATATAAATAAATAAATAGTTCAGTAGAGACTGTCGAAGTGCAATTGAGAACGGTTACCTACTCACCCGACTGGGAGCAGCATAGTCCTCTCTTACCAGCCCGGGGCAGGGGTAAGAAGATGGCATGGGCAGATGGTGGGGGAGGGGAGCGAAGTGTAGGTGTGTTTGCATTTGTACATGTGTACCAGTGATGAACCCTCAGAATTAGGGGATCAAGCAATCAGGGATCCAGCAGTTATGGGTCCAAGCACCACAATTGGCCACACGTGGTTAACGGGGACCGCCAGTTTCAGCTTCTGACTAACAGGTCCAAAACTGAAATTAGGGTTTGGGCCCTTGGGGGTCAAATTTTATGGTTTTTTTTTTGGCGACAATTAGTTAACTCGTCGTATTGGTGAAGCAGTGATTGTCCCAGGGGCCCAATAATTATGGGTTCAGTAATTGATAATCGACAACAGCTGGAACAGTTAGAGACCACCTTGTCAAGGTGCAGCAGCGATTGTCCCCACTGAAGATGGATGGTCTTAAACCACCACTTCACACGAGCTAAGTCGAGGAAGTTACCTTCCGAAGCTTGCGAGCCCGCAACTGCGCCTTTGTAAAGTGGTGTGCCGCCTTCGCTACCGGCCCAGGCCCGAATCGAAAAAAGCTATAAGCTAAACCGCGCAAACACGTAGGAGCCCTCTCTGCTTTGGGCGAACTGACGGTTTAATAACAGTGGCAACATGTACACATACATTCACAATGATGACAGCCCGACTACGTTCAGAGGTGGAGGGTGGTTGCTTTCTTGAGGAGGAGTCTGAAGAGGTGGTGTTGTGTAAGGAGGCGTGTAGAGAGGTTTGGCCTAATACAAGGCATTGACAAATAGACGGTTTCTTGAAGGGGTTTGGCCTCATACCAAGGGTCCTGGGAACCCATGTGGAAGAGCTGCGTCGGTGTGACCACGTTATGTAGCAGCGGCGGGGTCATGTGCTGATAAGAGTGAAGTGTGCGACAATTGCCTGCGTATGGGCGGAGGTAAGTCCTGAGTGGTGTTGTATGGTGTGAGTAAGGACACTACAGCCATGCAGGGGTGGTCTGGATATCACTGCCGGTATGGGCTCAGTTTCCAAATGCATGTCATGGCTGTAGTGGTTAATGGTCTTGGCTCTCGTGGCCAAAGGTGTCTGTTCAAATCCACTCGCGCACAGAGGAGGCCTGAGGCCCCCAGTACTGATCAGAATACCGCTAATGTGAGGCATTGACATAGGCTTAGGTTGTCGGTTCAAATTCGTGCATGCACAGAGGAGCCCTGAGCTCCCCCCGCTACTGATCAGAATACCGCTAATACGAGGCATTGACATGGACTTCTTTTTTGTTTTTTGTTTTTTGTTTTTTGTTTTTTTTTTCCTTTCGAACGTCAACTTGTCTACCGCAGACAGGTATAAGAACCCTTGCCTGTTACAGGTGCTGGTAGGTTGATGGCTCTGGTCTATGTTTTGAATAATGAGAAAGTATTATTCGTAGCTCTCTTGGCATCCGTGTCGGACCCGGCTGGGTTCCACGACCAGGATGATGTACCCATTGCTGGTGCAAAACCCCCCTGCTCATGCATTGTGGTAATTCCGATCAACTTGTCACCCAGCGGGCTTTTTCTGTTCAATTGTTTTTGCTTTTCTTTTCAAGTAAAAAAGAAAGCCCTTGTCCTTGGGGACACAGAGAAGATTAGCATGGCCCCTGCGCACGGATGACACGCATAAATAGAGAAATGGTCCAAGAGGGCCCTTGAGATATCCTCAGCGAACTGACCGGCCCCAGGTAGTTCATCATTGCTTTCTTTCATTTATCTAGATGCGTTTGGATTTGAGCTCGGGTCTCTATTCCCACAGTTTGCAGGTGTGCCAACTGAGCTAGGTCTGTTTGGTAAGCAATCGGCTATTTCTGGCTTTCCCTGAACATTAAGTAACATGCTGAGCACCACGGTCATTATAGCAGTCTATAATGACCGTGCCAAGCATGTCCA